ATTAGCCCACTAGCTCATATGAGCATATGAGCCCAACGGCCCCTTAATAATTATCTTTCAAATAAATATTGATCTTCATTTCCAAGGAATATACAATCACTAACGTAGAGATTATTAATGTGCACAAAAAATTTTAAAATTAAAAAGATTTCTTTTAGAAGAAAAAGTGTTTATATAAGGTGCTAACATTATATTGTAGAAGTAAGGTGCACATCTCAAAAATCCTCCTAAAGAGGTGGTTATGATGTTGTAAAGTATGACAATTGATTATCTCGACATTGAGATATATGGATATGAAAGAAAAAATAGATATCAAGTCCTAAAAATATTACATCTTGTAACACATTATCTAGATCACCCATTTTCAAGATTTTCGACTACTTTTAGATCTGCTTGATCTGAGCCATTTTGCGATCTTTAAATTTCACAAGTAGGGATAAACAAATTTCCTGCACCAAAACGACCTTTTAAGGCGAATTTTTAAAGTACACCATACTTCCATAGTTTAAGGTAGATAGTTTATACAAATCGCACCTTCTCTATGGTTTGGTCTTCTATGTACCCATCAAGAGGACCCAGACCCAAGTTGTCAGGTTCCGCAAGGCGGGTGCAGAATCAGACTTGTTTGACCCATCTTATAAATCCGACTAATCACCCCTTTAGTGTGCAAGTTAAAACCAGTGTTTTAAAACCTGGATTGCAGGGGAATCGTTCACTTACAAATGTGTATCAGATCATTAGATCGATAATTCAGATCGGATTTAGATCGATCCAAATTGAATATTCAGAAAAATATAAAAAATCAATAAAATAAAGAAAAACATAAAATAAGGCCTTCTAAGGAATGAATTTAGGGGAGACTTGAGAAAATATTATGTAAGCTTAATAAAAGGGAAAACAATGTACAAAATGAGTTTTAAAGTTATAATGGACACTTGGGAGAGTCCATTAAGGCTCGCCCCTGCAACTTGGTTCGGGCCAGGGCCAAGTCTGTGGTCCGAGCTGAGTTTCCTAATACTTGTTAATAAATAAAATAATGAAAAATCAAAATGCAAAAATACACGAAGATACCTGAATAATGTGATTCTTAAGGAGAGGGTGATCGAAAGCAGGTTGTTCGTAAATATCGATGCAATCAATTACATCTCCATCACTCTGCAATAACAAATGGCCAAATAATTATAATTATACTTCCCCAAAATTATTTTCATGAAAAAGATTTGGCGCATCTACGTTGGCATTCGTGCCCTTCCAAAACCCCATCTCAAAGATGCATTTTGGATTTGACAAATTCAGAGGGGGATAACCTCAATCACCATGATCAGGGGGATAACCTCAATGACCATGATCATGAAGCTCAAAAAAAGAAAAAAATTAACATTAAAAATACATTATATTACAATTTAAGACAAAAGGTCCAAAAACATTGCTTCAAATAATCGATCTATAAGATCTAGAAATTAAAACTTCATAATCAAGATGATGATGGTCGAGATTATCTTCAGTCAATTTTTTCAGCCAAAATCCATCTAGAGATTAAACTCTTTAGAAAACCCCAGAAAATTAAACTTTCAAAAGAAAAGTTGCCAAACATTCGATGACATGAATGGTTTTAACTGCTCTTTTATTGCCAAGGGTAGTTCTTGTGCCTTCCAATCCATGGCCAGAGGACAGTAGAATAATCACTAAAAACTGTATAATTTGGCTCGTAATCCCTCCCATTCTATGCTGCATTCTTCTGCAGAAATCAATATTTCATAATACAAAAAAGATATAGAAAAAGTAATTTAAATTACACTTATATTAATATAAAAGAAAGCAATTTCCATAACTGTAAGCCCTCTTCATTTTGCACGTTATTTATAAGAAGCTTAAATTGATTTTCCTTTAGGAAATATTAGATTTGATTTACTACAAACGAAACATGAAATAAATGTTGACAGCCTTTTGATGCTTTATTTGACAAAAGCTCTATCTATTAAAGATTTGACCCCGAACATTTATTATAACAAAATTTGTTTCTATATAAAGGAAGTTAGTAAAACATGATTTTCAGCATTATTCAGAAATTAATAACAAATTGGCCTTAAAACTAACCTCAATATTCGAGTTGATCGTCACTTATTATATATGTATACAAAGAGTGTACAGTCAAGAGCCTGTAGAACCAAGTTTCATCATAAAACTCTATCCAAAAAAAATAAAAACGAGAAAGAAAGAAAGACTGGAGGTCATGAAATTTGCAAATTGCACAAAAAGGCGAACATCTTAACTCTCCTCTAGAAATCAACCATGAACCGGTGAAGAGACCCTACAATATATGCCTGGCCCGAAGGCCCTCAGAGCGAGGACCGACATATTTGAGCCTGAAGCTTATCTCCATGAGGTTTAAGGGTTACATGCACCGGAAAATTACCATCCCTTAATTATTTTTTTCATAATTTTATCCAAAAATGATTAATAGCACAAGTTTAGCTTTTGAATAATATGCGACACCTTAAAATCTTTAGTAAGCACTATCAAATGGTATTGGAATAATACCAAATTTTTAAGTCAACCGTTTTAGGCATTTACTACTAGTTAGGTGCTTCCAACCCATCAAGTGCCTATTTATGTGGGTTCATTTGTAATTTTGCCACTTTTTCCATGATCCGAAGGAAATAGACCAAGGTATCAAAATAACTTCCCTATATCTAGACCCACATACATCATAATGGCCTAAATTTTTTGGAATATTTATGAGGTTATATTGGATTAGATTTAGTCTTATTTTGACACCCATCTATATCTGTTTCATATGTTTTATCCATGTTTGTTTATTAGCTATATGATCATAAGATCTAGGTTGCAACCGCTCTAGAAATACATTGAGGTCCGCCATCGTCAGAAAATGAGGACCCACCAAATTTGGGGCGAATATATATGTCTATTTGGGGTTCATTCCATTATCTTCTATAATTTCGATAATTTTTTGTTTTATATGTTACCAGTTTCCTATCAAGGCGGACAATCCTATAATTTTGCATTAGGCAGGCTGCCTTTAGTAGGGAACTATCCCTACCTTTCACCGATTTTTTTTGGAAACAATGATCCTAGATTACCCGCCCCTAGGTGTTAAGTAGGGCTTTGAGTACAAACTTTTTATATATGGCTTATTAGACCATGTGAGGTAAAAATAAGGGAAAATATCATACAGAACCCTAATTTTCTATTTTATTTCACGGTAGACCCTCCTTCTAATTTCTTTCAAACGGCATAAATAAACCCTCAAATATTTCACCCAACCCCCTCATCCTTTATTTCCCCATTTTTTCACTTTTAGCTATAAAAACTGATCCCAACAAACTATTTTATTCCGTCTTAATTCAAAATCCTTTCTAACCGTCTTTTCCCTTGTTTTCATTTTCACTACGGTAATATCTCTCTCTCTACTATGGCAAGGGCTCTCTCTCCATTCACCATAGTGGAGTCTACTCATTTCTCACGGTAAATTCTCTTTCTCTCTCCTCTCTCTCTCTGTCCTTGCCTTCAAAACCTCCATTGCTCTCCCTGTCTAGTATTCTCTCTCTGCCTTCGAAACCTCCATTTTCTTATAGAAATTAGGGTTCTTGTATATCTAAATTTCGGACAATCCATTTTGAAATCTAAAAATATCAATCACCTAAGAATTTACCAAGGAAGGAACCCATTTGCAGTAGATGCACTTGTTTATGGTCTTAGAGAGAAACACATTCTCAAAGGTTAGAGGGAAACACAATTTCAGATTTAGAGACAAAAAACCAATCTACAGTTTTCGAGAGAGAAACATCGGCAAAAGATAGAGACTGAAACTGGACAAACAGGAAGATAGAGGAACTCATGAATAATACAAGAGAGAAAAGAACCATTACATGGTTTTTTTTGTTGTTGCTATGGGAGATAGAGAGAGAGATGTATTCATGGGTTTTTACTGAAATTCTGATTTTTGCTGTTGCGGTAAGAGAGGTGCAATTCATGGGTTTGTATTATTAGTGAGAGAAAGATGAAATTTATGCATTGCCTTGTTTTTTGGTTGGAGAGATTGCACTTCATAAGGTGCATTGATGTATAGAAATGAAATATTTAGGGTTTGTTGTTGCAATGCATTCACTATCATCAGTGACCTAGGGCTTTTGTGCATTTTCTTTAACATTGTAAGTTTAAAACTTTATGAAGATCTGTTCAATATTGATTGATATGCTTCCGCTTTTTCAGTATTTTATGGCTATTTGTTACAGGCCTTCAGGTTTTTATTCCTTTGTTTCTCTCTATTTTCCTGTTTGTTTCTTTGGTTTCAACAGAGCTTTAATTTGCGCTTACAATAGATTTGCTCTTGAAATGCCATTTAACCTTTACGTACCTAAAAGTATTTAAAAAACTACAGCCTCTTATTTGTATATTTTTATGGTAAAGTATTTTATTGTTAGTAAATATATACTTTAAAGGGTTTCATTTATTCTTGCTTTGGGATATCCGGAATTTGCTTCTACAGGTTTGGGTTTGCTTGACCGGTCTTGCAGAATCATTTGCATCATCTATTGAGAAGGTAGATGAATTACAAAACCGTGCTAATAGGTTTAGAATCATATTGTACTGGTGTCAGTGTGGAGGTACCACAAATGCTTTTGTTTGTCAATATTTTGAGGTTAAATTCTCTATAATGTGAAATATCAGTTTTGATTTGTTAAGAGGAATGCCTATAGGTGATTGTTTGTTATAGCACTCGACTACCATTCAAATTGGTGCATTATGATGTCAAAGCACAATCTTTTTTGACAAAATCTTCTTCTCTCTCACTCTTTCCCTCACACACACACACACAAAATACACTCCTCTCTCTTACACACACCCCATTTCTCTCTCTCCCTCTCTTTCTCTCTCTCTCTCTCTCACACACACACACACATTTGATCACCCACTTCCAATCTGTTGATCAACTCTACAAATTCAGGGGTATGTTGGATCAACTCCACAAATTCAGAGAAGGCTATTGTGCTTTGACATCATAATAAATTTAAGGGCGTGTTTTGAATATCGTTGGATTCAATTCTGTTTTAGTTTTGCCAAAAAAAGAAGAAGAATTCGATTGTGTGTGCGTACGTGTGTGTGTACGAGAGTGTGAGAGAGTCCACACAATATAAAAGGAAGTACAAAAACTCCACATAAATATAAAAGGAATCGAGGTGCCTTTGCATAAGTCTTCATCTCTCAAGTCAAAGAGAGTGAGTGAGTGTTTGTACTGTGACTCCGCTGTTGTGAATGGAGAGAGAGCCCTTGCCGTAGTAGAGAGAGATATTATCGTAGTGAAAATGAAAACAGGGGAAATGAGGGTTACAAAGGATTTTAGATTGAGACGGAATAAAATAGTTTGTTGGGGTCAGTTTTTATAGCCAAAAGCAAAAAAAAGGGAAAATAAGGGATGAGGGGGTTGGGTGAAATATTTGAGGGTTTATTTATGCCGCTTGAAAGAAAAATGGAAGGAGGGTCTACCGTGAAATAAAATAAAAATTAGGATTCTGTACGATATATTCCCTAAAAATAAAACCAAATATATAGATATGCTGTACCTGCATCTACTTTGGAGCCTTAAATTTTATAATTAGGGGTGGAAATAGATTGTCAAGTTATCATGAGGTTTTCCCTATACTAATTACATTTTGCAAAAAGTTTAAAGGTGTGCCTTACTACGATTGTTTCAAGTGGATACTTAGATTGTATGTGTGTATAAGGCGCACCTCCAGACTATCTCTAAGGATGCAGTTCAGGGCTCGAAAACTATTGTGATGCCCTGAAAATCTATTTTCCACTATAAGTATGAAGATTTAGAGCTTAAAAATGTAACAAATAGAGCAGATATATAAACACTTGAAAATCTTGAGAATGGATAATGTAGATAATCCATTACAAGATATACAAATTTTTCATGATTTGGGAACCATTTTTTGTCTTTCATATCCATACTTCTAAATTGGACAAGTTGATCAATTAGAAGATTTTTAAACTCTGGATAACCCCTTTTCAAGTTGAGTTCTATACTTAAGAATGGACAATATAGAACTCAAATGTTGAACTACACTTGAGTTCTAAACCATGAGAATGACACCCTACAAAAGCTTTCTTATTTCTTCTTTTTCTATCTTTTGATGAGAAGAACACATTTCTAAAATTTCAAGTGATTTGGATTTGTAGGAAAAAAAAAAAATGCAAGAATTATCGGACATTTGTGATTGTCAGATCAGCTCAGATTCAATCTGGGCCGTTGAGCTCATATATTCATATGAGCTAGTGGGCTAATCCTAGCTTTTCTCACACACACACACTCATTTAG